GGTGTGTGTGAGAGAGTAATACCACTGTAATGTATGGTGTGTGTGAGAGAGTAATACCACTGTAATGTATGGTGTGTGTGAGAGTGTAATACCACTGTAATGTATGGTGTGTGTGAGAGTGTAATACCACTGTAATGTATGGTGTGTGTGAGAGAGTAATACCACTGTAATGTATGGTGTGTGTGAGAGTGTAATACCACTGTAATGTATGGTGTGTGTGAGAGTGTAATACCACTGTAATGTACGGTGTGTGTGAGAGTGTAATACCACTGTAATGTATGGTGTGTGTATGAGAGTGTAATACCACTGTAATGTACGGTGTGTGTGAGAGAGTAATACCACTGTAATGTACGGTGTGTGTGAGAGAGTAATACCACTGTAATGTATGGTGTGTGTGAGAGAGTAATACCACTGTAATGTATGGTGTGTGTGAGAGTGTAATACCACTGTAATGTATGGTGTGTGTGAGAGTGTAATACCACTGTAATGTACGGTGTGTGTGAGAGTGTAATACCACTGTAATGTATGGTGTGTGTATGAGAGTGTAATACCACTGTAATGTACGGTGTGTGTGAGAGAGTAATACCACTGTAATGTACGGTGTGTGTGAGAGAGTAATACCACTGTAATGTATGGTGTGTGTGAGAGTGTAATACCACTGTAATGTATGGTGTGTGTGTGAGTGTAATACCACTGTAATGTACGGTGTGTGTGAGAGAGTAATACCACTGTAATGTATGGTGTGTGTGAGAGAGTAATACCACTGTAATGTATGGTGTGTGTGAGAGAGTAATACCACTGTAATGTATGGTGTGTGTGAGAGTGTAATACCACTGTAATGTACGGTGTGTGTGAGAGTGTAATACCACTGTAATGTATGTTGTGTGTGAGAGTGTAATACCACTGTAATGTACGGTGTGTGTGAGAGAGTAATACCACTGTAATGTATGGTGTGTGTGAGAGAGTAATACCACTGTAATGTACGGTGTGTGTGAGAGAGTAATACCACTGTAATGTACGGTGTGTGTGAGAGAGTAATACCACTGTAATGTATGGTGTGTGTGAGAGAGTAATACCACTGTAATGTATGGTGTGTGTGAGAGTGTAATACCACTGTAATGTACGGTGTGTATGAGAGAGTAATACCACTGTAATGTATGGTGTGTGTGAGAGAGTAATACCACTGTAATGTATGGTGTGTGTGAGAGAGTAATACCACTGTAATGTATGGTGTGTGTGAGAGAGTAATACCACTGTAATGTATGGTGTGTGTGAGAGAGTAATACCACTGTAATGTATGTTGTGGATATTACGTGTTTAGGGTCATTTTGGATTCTTGTGTATTAATCTGTTCTGTGTATTTATACCACCTTGTATTTGCATTGTTTTATAAATAATATATATATATATATATATATATATATATATATATATATATATATATATATATATATATATATATATATATTATATATATATATATATATATATATATATATATATATATATTATATATATATATATATAATATAAAGTTGTGAAGATTCTGGAGCACAGGCTGAGGGACTGATCACCTCATCTTTTGTATGTAGTTCTACTGTCTCCAGTTGTGTACTAGAATCTGTATTGATAAAGCTACTGGAGGGCGAAACGTCTACAATAAAGATACCCAGATGTTGCACATGTGTCTAAGTCTTCAACAGCACCAGGTGTCTTGCGAGGTTACACAAACTACAGGTGACTAATCGTCAACTCTTTTGTTTCTGTTGCTGATAATTTTTACTTCCTCATTTTTCCTTCTGTAGAATTATCTTATTCTATTTATACATCATCATCATCATCATCATCATCTTCTGTTTCTTTTTCTGTTTCTTCAGCAAACTTCAGATACTCTCTGATCATCAGTTAAGTCAGAAAATTCCACATCCTAAGTTGAAGAGTTACGAAATTACACATTAAGAAGCCGAATGTATAGAAAACAATTATTTTTTTTCAAGCAGAGAGAGAAAAGGTCTAAAGAAAGAAAAGGGACATAAGACGACAGACAACAAGGAGAACAAGATACTGCAGTGGAACAAAATGGACAGGTTTCTGCATTCATCAGAGTGAAGTCTCCAGCCGCTCATGGTACAGTCAGTGCTGGAGAGAGCACCGATATGTACATCAGGAGATATATTAAAAGATAGTCTAGTACCAAAGGTGCTAAAGAAGCCCAAATAAAAACCAGGTTTCTCAAATAATAAATCCCCTTCCTTCTTTTTTTTTTGTTAGCATAAGGATTTAAACAATTGTAAGTGGCCTTCACACAAACGCATGCAATAATGTTTTCTAAGTGAAATGTGAGTGCAACACTATGTTGGTAATAAACGTGAGAGGGGAAAAAAGTCAGAGCATAAAACTCAGTGTAACAGACGCATTTGTTGCGTAGAACTAATGAGAACATCATATAAAACAGTCGAAGTTCGTGTATTAGGTATTAAAGTGGAGAACAAGATCCTGGTAATTATCCTAGTTTATAAAGCATCACCAGTAATAACAGAGGAATTCATTGAACAAGTAAGGAAGAAATCCTTGAAAATTCTACACTAATTAATTTTCTTCCAAATGTTAAATGGAACAAGTTAGACAACAGTATAGTACCAAAAATAGAACCTGGAAGCAAAATAGCTCAACAGACACACACAGAGCTATCAGGGCTCTGTATAGTTGTCGTTGTACCAACAGAGAACAGAACCGACTATTCTTAATTGATCTTCATGAGCAATAAAGAATTAGAAACATTACAATCTCAAATACAAAATACAGCCTCACTGAAGTGCAAACGAGCGTAAAACTACGAGAAGAGATCATAAGAACTAACCATCGTGTGGGAGGTTTGATAAATTTATCTTCAATAAACAGAACAGCGCTGTATAAGCGTTTAGTTTTGATAGTAATTCAATAAAGGGACAAAATAATCAGTCGTTCAATGGGAAACGGTCATGCTGCCCTAAATTGTCTGGTGGGTAGGATGCTGCTCTCAGCTCTCTAATAGGATGCTACCTTTAACTGTCTGATAGGAGGCTTCTCTTAACTGTCTGGTAGGATGCTGCTCTTAACTGTCTGGTAGCATGCTGCTCTCAGCTGTCTGGTAGGATGCTGCTCTTAACTGTCTGGTAGGATGCTGCTCTCAACTGTCTGGTAGGATGCTGCTCTTAACTGTCTGGTAGGATGCTGCTTTCAACTGTCTGGTAGGATGCTGCTCTCAACTGTCTGGTAGGATGCTGCTCTTAACTGTCTGGTAGGATGCTGCTCTTAACTGTCTGGTAGGATGCTGCTCTCAACTGTCTGGTAGGATGCTGCTCTTAAATGTCTAGTAGGATGCTGCTCTTAACTGTCTGATAGGATTCTGCTCTCTGTTTGGTAGATGCTGCTCTCAACTCTCTGATGGGATGATATCCTCAACTCTCTGGTAGGATGCTGCCCTCAACCGTCTGGTAGGATGCTGCTTTTAACTCTGGTAGGATGCTGCTCTCAATTGTCTGGTAGGATGCTGCTCTCAGCTGCCTGGTAGGATGCTGCTCTCAGCTCCCTGGTAGGATGCTGCTCTCAGCTCTCTGGTAGGATGCTTTTCTCAACTCTTTGGTAGGATGCTGCTCTGAACTCTCTGGTAGGATGCTTTTCTCAACTCTTTGGTAGGATGCTGCTCTCGACTCTAGTAGGATGCTGCTCTCAACTCTCTGGTAGGATGCTGCTCTCAACTCTCTGGTAGGATGCTGATCTCAGCTATCTGGTAGGATGCTGCTCTCAACTCTCTGGTAGGATGCTGCTCTCAACTCTCTGGTAGGATGCTGCTCTCAGCTATGTGGTAGGATGCTGCTCTCAACTCTCTGGTAGGATGCTGCTTTCATCTTTGGTACGGTGCTGCTCTCAACTCTCTTGTAGGATGCTGCTCTCAACTCTCTGGTAGGATGCTGTTCTCAAATCTCTGGTAGGATGCTGCTCTCAACTCTCTGGTAGGATGTTGCTCTCAACTCTCTGGTAGGATGTTGCTTTCAACTCTCTGGTAGGATGCTGCTCTCAGCTGTCTGGTAGGATGCTGCTCTCAGCTCTCTGGTAGGATGTTGCTCTCAACTCTCTGGTAGGATGTTGTTCTCAATTCTCTGGTAGGATGCTGCTCTCAGCTGTCTGGTAGGATACTGCTCTCAACTCTCTGGTAGGATGCTGCTCTCAACTCTCTGGTAGGATGCTGCTCTCAACTCTCTGGTAGGATGCTGAAGAATTAGAAACATGTGCAACATCCATGAAACCCTCACGTGTTCAGTGATACCCCAGCACTCCCTGCAACCCTCACGTGTTCAGTGACACCCCAGCACTCCCTACAACCCTCACGTGTTCAGTGACACCCCAGCACTCCCTACAACCCTCACTTGTTCAGTGACACCCCAGCACTCCCTACAACCCTCACGTGTTCAGTGACACCCCAGCACTCCCTACAACCCTCACGTGTTCAGTGACACCCCAGCACTCCCTACAACCCTCACGTGTTCAGTGACACCCCAGCACTCCCTACAACCCTCACGTGTTCAGTGACACCCCAGCACTCCCTACAACCCTCACGTGTTCAGTGACACCCCAGCACTCCCTACAACCCTCACGTGTTCAGTGACACCCCAGCACTCCCTACAACCCTCACGTGTTCAGTGACACCCCAGCACTCCCTACAACCCTCACGTGTTCAGTGACACCCCAGCACTCCCTACAACCCTCACGTGTTCAGTGACACTCAAGCACTACCTGACCATCACTCATGTGTTCAGTTGTGTTCGCCACGGTACATGAACAACAGTCACATGATCTGATTGTTTAGCCTTTATTTATAACTCTCCCAGACGTCCGTGGAACCCTTCCTAAAACACTTATCTTATCAGTGACGAGGGAGGGAGTTGGGCTGGGGTTGGCTCACCTGGGGGGAGGGGAAGGGCGGGGGAGGAACACTGTATGCATGTTACTCGCTGATGTTTTCGTCAGAGTGGCAGGCTGTTCGTGATCGCGTGAGTGTCTGCTCTGTGTCCGGCGTTCGTAGCGGGTCCGTGTGCGTGCGCCCGCCCACAACAGGGCCGTGTGACGTGCAAGTGTGATGCACAGGATTGTGACGTACAGGTGTGTGACGCACCAGTGTGACTTAAGCATATTCATCCGGAAACACTTGCAGGCAGTGTGACGTGTCTGGTGATGTGTATCCAGAGAGGAATGAACATTTATGTTTCCGTATCCCTGTGTCACTTGAAGGCACTGAGGCTCCATGACACGTATCCCTGTGTCACTTGAAGGCACTGAGGCTCCATGACACGTATCCCTGTGTCACTTGAAGGCACTGAGGCTCCATGACACGTATCCCTGTGTCACTTGAAGGCACTGAGGCTCCATGACACGTATCCCTGTGTTACTTGAAGGCACTGAGGCTCCATGACACGTATCCCTGTGTTACTTGAAGGCACTGAGGCTCCATGACACGTATCCCTGTATCACTTGAAGGCACTGAGGCTCCATGACACGTATCCCTGTGTCTTGAAGGCACTGAGGCTCCATGACACGTATCCCTGTGTAACTTGTAAACACTGAGGCTCCATGACACCAGCTCATCATTCACTCTACCTCTGTAGTCTCTACCGTAAATGTGTAGTCACAGTACCTGTGTTCTCACTGTATCACTGTAGATACTATACCTCTGTAGTCAGTGTACGACTGTGCTTGTGTACTCACTGTACAGCTAATCACTATACCTGTTTAGTCATTGTACAACTAATCACTGTACCTGTGTAGTCAATGTAATACTATACCAGTGTAACCACTATACCACTGTAGTCACCTAACCTGTACAATTAGTGTGCCACTGCAATCACTGTACCATTATAATCACTGTAACCCTGTATTCATTGTACCACTAAAGTTACTGTAACTGTATAGTCACTGTATCTGTGTAGTCACTGTACCTTTGTAGTCACTGTACCTTTGTAGTCACTGTACCTTTGTAGTCACTGTACCTTTGTAGTCACTGTACCTTTGTAGTCACTGTACCTTTGTAGTCACTGTAAATATGTAGTCAATGTAACTGTCTAGTCACTGTAACTGTGTAGTCATTGTACTTGTGTAATCACTGTACCAGCGTAGTCACTGTAACTGTGTAATCACTGTAACTCTGTAGTCACTGTAAATGTGTAGACACTGTAATTGTGTAGTCACTGTACCTGTGTAGTCATTGTACCTGTGTAGTCACTGCAACTGTGTAGTCACTGTAACTGTGTAGTCACTGTAATTGTGTAGTCACTGTAACTGTGTAGTCACTGTACCTGTGTAATCACTGCAACTGTTTAGTCACTGTAACTGTGTGGTCATGGTAACTGTATAGGCACTGTACCTGTGTAATCACTGTACATGTGTATTTACTGTAACTGTGCAGTCACTGTAACTGTGTAGTCACTGTAACTGTGTACCCACTGTATCTGTAATCACTAACTTTTTAGTCACTGTAACTGTGTAGAGACTGTAACTGTGAAGTCACTGTACCTGTGTAGTCATTGCACCTATGTAGTTAAGTCTCAGGTGATGCAGCTATGCGTCATCAAGACGTCGACGCACACAGGCAGGACTGTATCATTATGTGATTGTAACTCAAGATATATTTTGGTACAGTGTGGCTAATACAACAATTAGTGAAGATGATGGTACAGTGTGGCTAATACAACACTTAGTGAAGGTTATGGTACAGTGTGGCTAATACAACAATTAGTGAAGATGATGGTACAGTGTGGCTAATACAACACTTAGTGAAGGTGATGGTACAGTGTGGCTAATACAACACTTAGTGAAGGTTATGGTACAGTGTGGCTAATACAACACTTAGTGAAGGTTATGGTACAGTGTGGCTAATACAACGCTTAGTGAAGGTTATGGTACAGTGTGGCTAATACAACACTTAGTGAAGGTTATGGTACAGTGTGGCTAATACAACACTTAGTGAAGGTGATGGTAGAGTGTGGCTAATACAACACTTAGTGAAGGTTATGGTACAGTGTGGCTAATACAACACTTAGTGAAGGTTATGGTACAGTGTGGCTAATACAACACTTAGTGAAAGTGATGGTACAGTGTGGCTAATACAACACTTAGTGAAGGTGATGGTACAGTGTGGCTAATACAACACTTAGTGAAAGTGATGGTACAGTGTGGCTAATACAACACTTAGTGAAAGTGATGGTACAGTGTGGCTAATACAACACTTAGTGAAGGTGATGGTACAGTGTGGCTAATACAACACTTAGTGAAAGTGATGGTACAGTGTGGCTAATACAACACTTAGTGAAAGTGATGGTACAGTGTGGCTAATACAACACTTAGTGAAAGTGATGGTACAGTGTGGCTAATACAACACTTAGTGAAAGTGATGGTACAGTGTGGCTAATACAACACTTAGTGAAAGTGATGGTACAGTGTGGCTAATACAACACTTAGTGAAAGTGATGGTACAGTGTGGCTAATACAACACTTAGTGAAAGTGATGGTACAGTGTGGCTAATACAACACTTAGTGAAAGTGATGGTACAGTGTGGCTAATACAACACTTAGTGAAGGTTATGGTAGAGTGTGGCTAATACAACACTTAGTGAAGGTGATGGTACAGTGTGGCTAATACAACACTTAGTGAAGGTTATGGTACAGTGTGGCTAATACAACACTTAGTGAAGGTTATGGTAGAGTGTGGCTAATACAACACTTAGTGAAGGTGATGGTACAATGTGGCTAATACAACACTTAGTGAAGGTGATGGTACAGTGTGGCTAATACAACACTTAGTGAAGGTGATGGTACAGTGTGGCTAATACAACACTTAGTGAAGGTTATGGTACAGTGTGGCTAATACAACACTTAGTGAAGGTTATGGTACAGTGTGGCTAATACAACACTTAGTGAAGGTGATGGTACAGTGTGGCTAATACAACACTTAGTGAAGGTTATGGTACAGTGTGGCTAATACAACACTTAGTGAAGGTTATGGTACAGTGTGGCTAATACAACACTTAGTGAAGGTGATGGTACAGTGTGGCTAATACAACACTTAGTGAAGGTTATGGTACAGTGTGGCTAATACAACACTTAGTGAAGGTTATGGTACAGTGTGGCTAATACAACACTTAGTGAAGGTGATGGTACAGTGTGGCTAATACAACACTTAGTGAAGGTTATGGTACAGTGTGGCTAATACAACACTTAGTGAAAGTTATGGTACAGTGTGGCTCACACAACACTTAGTGAAAGTGATGGTACAGTTTGGCTCATACAACACTTAGTGAAGGTGATGGTACAGTGTGGCTCATACAACACTTAGTGAAAGTGATGGTACAGTGTGGCTAATACAACACTTAGTGAAGGTTATGGTACAGTGTGGCTAATACAACACTTAGTGAAAGTGATGGTACAGTGTGGCTCATACAACACTTAGTGAAAGTGATGGTACAGTGTGGCTCATACAACACTTAGTGAAGGTTATGGTACAGTGTGGCTAATACAACACTTAGTGAAGGTTATGGTAGAGTGTGGCTAATACAACACTTAGTGAAGGTGATGGTACAGTGTGGCTAATACAACACTTAGTGAAGGTGATGGTACAGTGTGGCTAATACAACACTTAGTGAAGGTTATGGTAGAGTGTGGCTAATACAACACTTAGTGAAGGTGATGGTACAGTGTGGCTAATACAACACTTAGTGAAGGTGATGGTACAGTGTGGCTAATACAACACTTAGTGAAGGTGATGGTACAATGTGGCTAATGCAACACTTAGTGAAGGTGATGGTACAGTGTGGCTAATACAACACTTAATGAAGGTGATGGTACAGTGTGGCTAATACAACACTTAGTGAAGGTGATGGTACAATGTGGCTAATACAACACTTAGTGAAGGTGATGGTACAGTGTGGCTAATACAACACTTAGTGAAGGTGATGGTACAATGTGGCTAATACAACACTTAGTGAAGGTGATGGTACAATGTGGCTAATACAACACTTAGTGAAGGTGATGGTACAGTGTGGCTAATACAACACTTAGTGAAGGTGATGGTACAGTGTGGCTAATACAACACTTAGTGAAGGTGATGGTACAATGTGGCTAATACAACACTTAGTGAAGGTGATGGTACAATGTGGCTAATACAACACTTAGTAAGGTGATGGTACAGTGTGGCTAATACAACACTTAGTGAATGTGATGGTACAGTGTGGCTAATACAACACTCTTAGTGAAAGTGATGGTAGAGTGAGGCTAATACAACACTCTTGGTTGTACGCAACAGGGTTGGATGTGCTGTGAGGAATTCAGTTACAGTAACCCTTCTGAACTGGGAGAAGTTTGATCATAAAAACTATGAAAGTATGAAGAGAACAGGTAGTGTGGCTGGTATACAACTATCTAGGGAGTAACTATTAGGTAGTGTGCTTATCAACAACACTAGTGGAGGTGAGTACACTGTGTGGCTATACAACACAGTGAAGGTATATAGGTACAGTGTGGCTTATCAACATAGTGAAGGTTATGGTACAGTGTGTGCTGATACAACCACTTAGTGAAGGTTATGGTACAGTGTGGCTGTATACAACCTAGTGAAGGTTATGGTATCAGTGTGGCTAATCAACACTAGTGAAGTTATGGTAGTGTGGTAAATACAACATTAGGGAGGTTATGGTCAGTGTGGCTAATACAACACTTAGGAGGTGTATTGTAGCATGTGTGGTAATAGCAACCTTAGTGAAGGTGATTGGTTTACAGTGTGGTCAAATCACACTAGTGAGGTATATTAGGTAGTGTGGCTAATACAACATCTAGGAAGGTGATGGTACGTGTGGGGTAATACAACCATAGGTGAATGTATGTACAAGTGTGGCTAATACAACACTCTTAGTGAAGTGAATGGTAGGTGAGGCTAAAACAACACTCTGGTTGTATGCACACAGGTGTTTTGCTGTGACTCGGGAGGGAATTCAGTGTTGACAGG